ATGCTGCAGCCCCAGTTCAAGTCCCACAACACCCACGAGGTCCTGAGCAAGCTCTTCCAGATCGTACCGGGCGAGGATCCCTACCGCTCCCGCGACCCGCGCCACTGCCGCCGCTGTGCCGTGGTCGGCAACTCGGGCAATCTGCGCGGCTCCGGCTACGGACCGGAGATCGACGGGCATGACTTCGTCATGCGGTGAGGGCAGGGGACCACAGCCGGGGGCACTGCCTGCCCACCGGGGGCACTGCCTGCCCACTCAGCCCCACGGGCTGCCAGCACCAGTGGGTGCTGAGCTCCTGCTGTGCACCGCAGCGGCGTCTCTCCGGGTCCGCTGTGGGTTGGGAGATGCCGGGGGGGGTTACCCCTGTGCCGTGTGCCACCCGGCTCCAGTCGCTTGGTCAAGGAGCCCATCATGGGTCCCGCCAGGTGCTGGGATGGGTGGGAGCGGGTCCAGCCCCGCCGCCTCCCTTGGGCTGGCTGGGGGCACCCTCAGCTCATCCCAGCACCCTGAGCACCAGCAGGCTAGGAAACTGCTCCTCGGTGCCGTTCAACAGCTGGCGGGGGACACCCGTGTCGTCTGCAAGGGACAGGGTGGCTGGGAGGGGGGTGCCACCTTCCCCGCTCTCTCCCCAGGATGAACCAGGCCCCCACGGTGGGTTTCGAGGGCGACGTGGGCGGTCGGACCACGCACCACTTCATGTACCCCGAGAGTGCCAAGAACCTGCCCGCCAATGTCAGCTTCGTGCTGGTGCCCTTCAAAACCCTGGACCTGCTCTGGATTGCCAGTGCCCTCTCCACCGGCCAGATCAGGTTGTAAGTACCCGGCGGGCACCGGCAGCACCGGGCTGGCTGCTCTCCTGCCGCGGGGGCAGCTCCCCCGGGAGTGGTGAGGATCCCTCGGTTCCTCCCTCCCAGAGCATTCCCCCGGTGCTGGTCCCTTGGCAGCTCAGGCTGGGGCTGGGGGCTGCGGGACCCCCGGGAGCTCACCTGCCTCTCCGCTTTTTTCCCCAGCACTTATGCGCCCGTGAAGCCTTTTCTGCGGGTGGACAAAGAAAAGGTAAGGGGGGCTTGTCCCAACCGCTGCAATGAGCACCCCTTTGGCCACGGCCCCTGTCACCCCATCTTCCCCAGGGGTCCCCCCGCATGTCTTGGCGCTCCTTCCCGGGGTGCCGATGCTGAAGGGAGCGTGGCCGGGGCTCCAGCGCCAACCCCAGCCCGTCCTCCCAGGTGCAGATCTACAACCCTGCCTTCTTCAAGTACATCCACGACCGCTGGACAGAGCACCACGGGCGCTACCCCTCCACCGGCATGCTGGTGCTTTTCTTCGCCCTCCACGTCTGTGACGAGGTGGGTGATGGCTCCTCGGGGTCCTCGTCCAGGCTGCGGGGTCCCGGATGGGCTGCGGGGTCTCAGATGCACTGCGGGGTCCCGGCTGGCATGGGATGGGTTTGCTGGAATCCTGAACCTTGCAGGGTTAAGGAGGGAGGCGCCTTCTTCGGGTCCAACCACAGCAGTTCCACTTGCTCCGGTTGCCTAACACCACGGTGATGGGCACCCTTGAACGGTGGGAAGGCTGTGCAGGGGGATGCACGCCTTCGGGACCGTGCCAAATCCCCCCCAGCAGCGCGGCGGGTGCTCAGCCAAAGGGGTCCCCAGCCCAGCAGGGGGGTCAGGGCTGGCTCACCCC